TACAAGAACAGAATAAACATTGACTGTCGGTGTTCCAACATCGCTTTCTACGGGGGATGAACGATTCTGGTGGGGAAAACGGAGGAACAATGCTGAGGTGAGGCGCAGTATTTTAGGTAACCGCGATCACACAAAATTTACTGGGCTAATGTAACGGCCCATATGGAACATTGTTAGAGAAGTTATTAGAACGAATCATTCCACCCTATCCGACATATTCCACTTTAGATGTTTTTCCCTGAAGGTTAGAATTGGCCAACTTTGTGACGAGTTATACTTTGATTTGGATCCTGATTATCTGATTGTAAGTTCCTTTGGCTCCGCCTCATTGTTTTGTGGTTAGATTTAAGGATATAAAACTTCGATATCAGTATACAAGGTTATCTGTTGCCCTAGCATATGTAAAAATAACTATATGCGCTCGTCGTTTGTACTGTTGCTCAGTTCGCACTCAAAAGACCTCTTCAAAGAGTATCCCATTCCCGCATCGGTCTTTGATATACTGTACTCTTTTCCCACTTCAGGGTTCACGTGGTGGATTCACAAGAACCAAGATTCACGCGTCTCTTGGCGTGCCATCGTTGCGACACCCGAACATATGTAACAGACAAAGAAACCGGTCTTGCCCAATGTCAGTGCTGTTTGTGTTGGGTACACCAAACTTGCTATAATCTGTGCAAGGCATCGACTCCATCGGTGGGCATGTTGTGCGATGGTTGTCTAATTAGTGACAACACAGCTCGCTGTTCACGTTTGTACGAGCCACACCTTCAGTGGATGCGAACTGGACGATTTCCTTGGAACTCAAATTCCGCCTCAATCTCGGTCGATAGTCAAGCTGATCCGCTGCGTCATTTAGTTGTGGAAACATCGGCCATTCTAAACTGGTCACATCATCTGCGTCCACTGTTGCGTTCCGGTTGGACTACTCTTGGTCGCACTAAATTATCGGCTAACTCAATCCCTGTGCGTTCCACCAGAACGGTTTCTGTTGCCGCCCCTTTGCTACCACCGCCAGCCTCGTCTGTGGTTGTGACTCCTTCTAAGCCAGATCACGCCTTGGGTTCTGTGTTACATCATGATGGCAGTCTTTTGCCTTCTGATGGACCCAAGACTCTGATTGGCGTAGCAAAACTGAATGATTTCGCCGGTAACGATCAGAGTGCTAGCAGTGAAGATCAAGTTAATCGTAAGTTGTTTCATTGTCATTATATACATATATATATATATATATACATATATGTATTTATATATGTAGATATATATTGTATTGTATTCAAGTATTAGCGAGTTGTGGCGATATAACTTTTTGAGGATTGACATACTTCTCAGGTACTCCATTCCTCAACAAACAGCTCCATACTGCAGCCCAATCGATAGAGTCGAGAACTCTAATGGTGTTTAGCAATACAGTAATCGCTGTTCTTTGATAAGCATGACGGTGCTCAAGCATCTGTCTGAGGGCGAAGGTTTGATGGATGCATCCACGACCGGCACGGAACCCAGCTTGCTTCTCATGGATCTGCTCTTCATGCGTGTTGCACAATCTGCGGAGAATGACGGACGCTGAAAGCTTTGACGCTATTGGGATCAGGCTTATACCCCCTATGATCGGTGTAATCATTGCGCTAGCCCTTTTTAATGAGGGGGCGACTGTCGACTCCCCCCACCAGAAGAGGACCTGCTCAGTGTTCCAAACTTTAGAGAACAGGACGTAGAGTTCTCCAACAAGCTTTATTCCACTATCTTTAAATAGGGCTGGGGAAGTGCAATCGGAACCCGGCGCTTTGTAACGTCCCAAGGTTTGGATCTCCTTACGGATTTCCGCCTCGCTGTTGAATGTGAAGAAGCGAGCCGTCAGCTTCATAGATCATCTCGCTCACACCCAAGGATTTCCTACCGGTAACTCGGATGAGATATGAACTGCTTACAGGAATTTCCCATGGCCACAGAACGTTCCATTTCGGATGTGCGTTGAGACCACCAGATCTTGCGATCTCTGCGTAGGCTTACTTTAAGTTCACGTCTTATTACAAGCCGTGTTACGGTATGCTCGCTGTCGGTCGGAAGTGACCGACGCGTCAAAAAGGCGCAGAGGTTCAGCGGAAATCTAGTGTGACACGGCGTGTCAGTCCACAACTAAACCACTAGAATGCACAGACCCGAACACTGGAGGTAAGAGAAACCGACTACTTCTGTGCATTTCTTCACGCCTCCTGTCCACGTCATCTGTTAACTTCCACGTGGTTTCCTCCAGCCCAGAGCGACTACAGCGAATAAAGCGCGGTGCAGCAGACGATAGCTGAGCATACGCCAGTGAAGTCTACTAATCAGAATTGGGTGTGCCAGCCGGTTCATACCTGATAGACTCCCAAACACACGACAGCTTACTTCCACGTTACTAACCCGTTCGCTCCATCCAACGTGGGCTACGTAAACACCGACAATCTAAAACTTATAGTCAATGGATATCTTTTGCTCAAATTCAGGGTCTCACAACCACAAAGTAGGACTGAACGAAGAGTAGCAGAATATACGCGACCTCTCAACTTTAGTAAAACATCGCGTCTATGCCAAAGGTGTTTCAGTCTTACGCATGCTACTTGAGCCGTGGAAATGCGGGTGATTATCGCTTGTGCTACCGTCTTTGGTCACTTGACGAGCTAATAAGGAAAAGTAATCCACCATAACTAACTCCTGGCAACCTAGTTTCAGACGGGGAGTAGGCGACCCCAGTCTTACAGCATCACTGCACTTTGAAGTTGCAAGATGCATACCGAATGTGGCAACAGCACTTATTAGTTTATCAAGTGCGCTTTGCGCGTCCTCCGTACATTCGAATAGACAGGCGATGTCATCGGCATACTACAGATCGCACAGTTTTTCTGCAGCTGCCCATTCTGCCAGTACCTTATTAGTTGTAAACCCTTTCTCGATTGGAGGTATGTGAGCACTGATCTTTGGGGCACTCTTTTTGGAGGAAGGGAACCCATCAGAGCTTCGCGGTTAACTGAGTCAAGGGCTCCTTTCAAATCTAAGGACATTGCGATCGTTGGTCAACGGTGGGTGTGACGCAACGTTAAAATTTGATCAATACATCCACGGAATCCGGCATACTGTCCATGTTGTTGTTCTCTTAAATAATTCCCTCGTCGAAGTCTGATTGAGGCTAGCACATTGGTGAATATTGGGATCAAGCTCCAGCGGTGATTTCAGCAATCGTTACGAGATCCTTACTTGAGAATGGGAACGATGAATTATTCACCCCAAGCTGGAAGAATGCGCTCTTGCGTCTAAATGTTACGCAGTAAGGTAGTAATAGAGAGATTATCATTCACCATCTTGAAAAAAGCGGGAGGGCGCTCACACGGTCCTTTCCTCGCTTCAGAGCTTGAATGCAAGACCGAACTTCTGCTTCTGCTGGAGGATCGCATAACTGCCCACGGAGCTTCAGTTGCAAATGAAGCATCCTGGTTAGCACTAGGCCAGCTGGACTGTTCGCTGAAGTATTCCACCCTATTGTGAATCGTTTGTCCCGTCTTATCGCACTAACTTACTAACGGAAGTTCGCCGACTTCCCGTATTGCGTATCGGTTGGATCAGTGTTTGACTATTCCCTGGTGCAGCTGCTACTTTCCTTTCACTGGCTATTGTTGCCCACCAGTCTCGGTCCTTCCTGAGGCTCTTCGTGAGCTGATGTAGATACCACCTAACTGTTTTGGTCCTATCGGGTCGAGATTCCTCATTTTTATCTATCAAGGCTACTGACTCGTAAGATATCCAATGCCTCCGACGGGCTTGAGGCTCATACCCGCAAGCAACATTCGTTGCGCAATGCATTGCTCGCCTAATCTGGTTGCGCTGCTCATCCACATCTTTACTTGAAGTCGCGCTTAGCTCACGCACGAACTGCTGGAACAAACAGTCAATGATGAGCCATCGGAGTTTGTTGCTCTTGTCGCTGGCCAGTCAGTCGGAGAGTGAACTTTATCAAACTAACCCGTGGTCAAAACTCATCGCAAGTGGTCCAACAGGACCTGTAGTTTTGAACTGAATTACGCCAACAGTAGCAACAGTGGTTGGCCTACCAGTTCAACTGGAGCGTCACATTGCCATCCGTCGAGAGCTATGTGGGAACTTGGTACTGGATAACAATAGGTGATGGTCTGCTCAAAATTGAAGAAGTTAATCGCCGTTATCTGTTGGTTGGCAGGGCAGAGCACAACTACCACTTAGGTAATCTTATGGTGAGCTCAATTTTCCAACTTGGAAATTCAAGTCATCTGCAGAAACAACTATGTCGGATCCTCGACTAATCCGAATGAGATCCATAATTTCATCGTTTAGTTCAGTTCAGCTTTTATAACCATTAACCATGCACTTCCGTGCACCGGTTTTGGTTACTTTCTTTTGGCCATTCATTTGGGTAAAAGAACGGAATGAAGATTAGAATGTTGAGATCAAATTCAAACAGAAGATAGAGAATTCATACAGCCTGGAAAAAAATGAGTAGATGCACGAACGCCACTGTTTACGACTCAGCAATGTCATTCGGTGTCTCTAACCATGGGGTACGATCATCCCGAGATCCCCATCCAGCTCGTTGGGTCACAGAGGTGCACAAAGCATCACCACGTCAAACTGCAATCCCTGTCGCGATGGTCCATGTGGTGTATGAATATCATTTGTCAAACTTGCCTTATGGCCGCGGTGCCGCACGGACGAATGCAACAGACGTGGGGCATTTTGAGATGTCGATTACTGGAGTACATTTGTATTAACTATTTCCGCCTGTATCTATTCTTATGCTATTATCCGTATTTTTCCGTTTGGCCAATCACAGTCACGTGGAAAGTTGACGTAGAAATGAGGAAATTTATACTGTAAGTGTTGCCCGATTGTCGGCCAGAACGGAGGGGCTCGAAATGATGCGAAAATTATTGAAATTGAATAAAAATGAACTGCGTTTAACATAACTGACTTTTACGTGACTGATGGTATCATGAAGCGTTACATGATTGGTTTGAGTAGTGTTTTTCTGCTAGATACGTTCACTTATTTCTAGTCGAGATCAAAGTTGTCCTAAAACAAAATTTGTTATTGTTTTGTTTTCCAGCACCTGGTTCCTTAAAGGTAGCAACAATTGCGTCCACTCCATTACTGCATCCGGCTGATGTGGATTGGATCAGCGTGAATACAACCCCGGGGACGAGCTCAGTGCCATCAATATCCTCGCTTCCTTTCGTTCTGTCCCGCACTGATTCAGTCACAAAGGACATGCCCCCACTCGGCGATCCAAGCACCACTTCGATGTATGATGAACTTGGTCAATCGGCTGGTTCGCTAGGTATTTATCAGCAGCAGTCTCACCACTTGTCTGACACTGTCTTGGCGGACGAATTCACCGAGCGTGTAAGCACGGCCATTCGAGATCTGGAGTGCTTAGATGAGCGAATTCTTACACCATTAGAACTAACCTTATCCGAGATGGAGAGTCGGCTTGACAAATTGAATACGGAAGTGACTTTCTTGGAACAACAAAAGGCTCATGCTTCAGTAACTCGTCTGCAACCCGGGTTAGCTCGTGGTTTACATGATAGGCCTGATCCAGTTGAACCAGAAGATGAATACTGTGATGATATCACGGAGGATAGTAACGGCTTAACCACGGATCATCAATTGGACACAGATACCATGATTATGTCACCACTATGTTCCTCCTCTTCATCTACATTTTCCCTCTCTCCACATCAAAACCCAGTAGAGGAGAGCAAAGCAATGGTACGCGATTTTTCACAGCAGTCATACAAAACATCATTTCTCGGCCTGTCACACTCCACCGGTAACTACTCAGTTGACGATCTCGTTTGTACCCGTGCAAAGCGCGCGGCTCGGAAACTATATCGATTTGCCGTCGGTCTACGCCCAAGTAGAGCTCGGCAGCCGTCAAATCAATTAGGCAATATGGCGTTGACCGCTCGAACGAAACCCCCCGCACCGCACTTATTTCCCTCGCGGAACCCTGTTCCTTCTTCGCGAATGTGACAGCTTTTTTAATCGTCATTTTCTGTGTATAATATTGCTCCATGCTTGCATGCACATCTCCGATTGAATTCGTCCCAGTGATCCCTCTTCTTTGTATCACATCTTGTTTTGTTTTTCACTACAGTTGCATTGTGTATATACATCTAACTGTTTGTAAATAATATTCATCATAACTTCCTGCTTCACACACTCCCCACAACCCGGCATCTACCTATCTCTTGCATTTCTACATTGATGTTCAGAGTCTACACTTACCTTCAATCCTCGAACTCGGTCCCTTACACATTTATTGTTCTCCGAATTGTTTTTACCCAATTTTGAATATTTATTCTACATCTGATTTATCTTCATTATTCTTCTTATTATTATTTTTCTCAATAGAACTGATTTGTGAATCAGCCCTATGAGAGAATTCGTATAATAAACGCGATCTGAGGTNTGAGGTGTACTTAGGGAACCTGCTGTTCAATACAATTCAGGTGTTGGTAAGATGAAAAAAGCTTGGTAACATCACTAAATATCATAACCAAGGTGCCTTTGCTTCAGCTGTCGCGTTAGTTTAAATAGAAAATGGAAGAATCTAAAACTAATTTTGGTTTATTCCCCAGGATTTATCTTCCCTGTAGATTCAGACATGAGAGAGCATGGCTGCTGATTTTGCCAACAATTCACCCCAAACTGTGAATACCATAGGCGAAAATTCACAAGGATGTCAACATCCTGCTCCTGAGGTTTTGCGCGACCTACGTACCATTCAACGTTAAGTACATTTGTATACTTAGTAAACAAAAAAGGAAGTAAGAAGACATTTATTTTTAAGTAGTGGCAGTTGCACTGAGCATAAAGTTAGCGTGAAAAATAGGAAGTGCCGTAGATCCTTTTTTGTCGACCCGATACCCTGACACGCGGCAAGCACCAGTTTTAAATCCCTAAGATATCCCTAGGACAACTTTTTAACTTTCTGTTAGGCAGTAAATCAAAGGCTGATTATCTTTTTAGAGCGCTTCTACAGTAGCCGGGTGTGAAATCAGACAAGCGTTGAATGTATGCCAGAGGGTTTTCACATGTGGTCCTCAGCTGGTCAAATCTCTTGGAGGTTAAAGAAGTTCACGAGTAATGAGGTAGATTGTGGTGTTATATCACCAGTCGCATGAATGTTGGGAAGGCCTCCTCTTCAGCAACAAAATACTGTTGAGGAAACTACGCAATAATGAAATTCGGAGTATTCTACTGGGTTAAATCGAAGAATTGCTTCGACAACGCACCGTTGCAATTCCGGTCCCTAGGTCACTGATCCTATCAGCGCAGCCCGAGGAGTTCCACGGCGATCTGTGCTTGGCCCTCAACTTTTTCTAGTTTTCATAAACGACCTAACAGACTCTCTGAAGCTGCAAACGTAATTGTTTGCAGACGATGGGCTCGTTGGCACTTCAGGGAACACTTAATGCTGCTCATCAATGGTCTGTCGAATTCAATGTATCAAAATGCACGGTCGTTTCGCTTCGCCCCAACACTCGGTTTCCGTACTTGGGGATCGGCAACTTCCGTATGTCTCAAATAAGAAGGGTCTCGGTGTAATTGTCTAAGACGACCCAAGTTGCTCTTTAAACTGCTCCAGGGCGTCGTCCACCGCCGTAAGGCATTTGGTTTTCCATAGAGTATTTGGTAACTTTGAACTCACGCTGTTCCCATGGCTGTTATCAGCTTAGATTCGACCCCACAGATTACGCCAGTCAAGTAAAGAACCCATGGCTGCAACGCGATGGTGTGATTTTTGAACGTCCACAAGAATGACCACCAAGATGTTCAAGGGACTGCATTCCAAGACTTATGTGGGAAGATTGCAGTCATTGAGGCTGTACTCCTTACAATATCCCCGAATTCGAGGGGACCCTATTTTGGTGTATCAAATAATGTCATGTCATCCTACGCTCACCTGAGGGGGAACTCATTCAAATTAGTTCTCCAAAAATGCCGACGAGATTGCCTGCGTCATTCATTTGGAATCTACCATTCCGCGTTGTTTCTGTCATCCTTCTATGATCAGTAAATCGATCCATTTGTGCTAAACCCCATGGGACAAGAAAAGTGACCGCTTGAAAGTATTTCCCATAATCAAACTCTGACTTTGTTGCCACGTTGCACAGCAGCAGCATGTGCAATGCTGCTGAATTTGGTGGGTAAACCGGACGGGCAACGCTGAGGTTAGGCGCAGAGTTTTAAGGTTACCTCGGTAGCCCAATGAAGCAAGTGGTCGACCGTCACATAACTTGGTTAGATTTATGGGCTTACTTTTCAGTTAAACAAGTACTCTGGTCGTCACGTGGGATAAAATATTCAGTTTCCTATAGCATGCAAAGTAAAGAATATTAGTGAAGTACGTTTCATGTACACATTCTGATGTAATTCATTTGCGACCTTTTCCTTTTTGGTTAGGAGTCGGGCCAGGCAGGGTACAGGGGGAATTCTTTTGAATACTAATGCGACGGATGCAGAAAAGATGAGTGTGTGGATGGATGGCAAAGTCAAGATGAAGAGGGCGGTCTGGAATCTTACTGGCAAATTTAACACAAGAGTTGATGTCACCATTAGTGAGTTCTGTGAATAATTAATCGATTGGGATCAATAATGCACGACTGATTATCATCGAACCACGGCCAATGGTCTTTAAATTCCAGTAAACACTACAAGAGAGCAATAGAATAGAATAGGTAAAGCATATTGGTGAACGAAAGAGGACAGAACTGACTGTGGGGTTCGGAATTGCCTGACTGAAAAGGGAGACGTCTCAGTTTTCCCATACAATTATAAGTGTGTGGACCACCGATGATTGCTGTCGATGGTGACACCTAGGTACTTCACTGAGGTGACTCTGAACACATGTTTGCAGTCGAAGGTAGCGGAGTCCGTTGGAACTGAAGTCACTTGGAGGTGTCAAGACAAAGACCAGATTGGTGGGAAAACTGTTGAATGTGGGACAGATTTTCAATGAAAGAATCTAATGCCAAAGGAGAGGAATTGTCTGATACAAAACGACGTGAACAGCATACTTTTGGACATATACAAGGGCTAGGACCGAAAGGCCTCTAATAAAAGCAGAAAAAAGATGAGGATAGAGCAGCACCTTGAAGTATACGAAAATTATTCCTTCCTAGTTTAGTGCACTGAACCCTCTGTGAAATAGTTCGAAGGCCATGAGAGCATCTGTCTCGGAGCGTCAAAAGATTCGAGTTTGACAAGAAGAGATGATCTAGAAACAGATTTAAACGCGAGAGAATAACCAGGAAAAACAGACAACTTTGGCCGCATTGTTAAATGACTTACTGATAAAATGGATCGGAGTGGATACGGCGTCAAGTGTTGATCTGTTGAGTTTATATGCAAACTGAAGGGGGTCATAAGGGATTGTGGTAATTGACTCAGGATGGTCTTTTCAGTCAAATTTAGAGCTGCAGAAGTCAGCACTATAGGACGAAACGGTTCCGAAAGAACAGTTGAGGACGATGCGAAGGACCGGGAAGACAGACACGCATTAATGAGGGATGTCATCATATTGGTCAAGGAAACTGCTTCCAATCTGAGAGGTGCTGATGAAAGACGATCAAGGCCTGCAGCTGAGGATGCTTTGGAGGATCGGAAAAGCCTAAGATTTCATCATTGGAAAAAGGCACTGAATTGGATTCAGTGAACGGGAAGGAGGGAATCTAGCACTCGTTTGATCAGTCGATAAAAGTGGCAGTAACGTCCACATTCTAGTGTTTTCTGTGCTGCCCAGAGAGAAGGCGAATACTTTACCACAAAAGCCTGGTGCTTTTGTTCGCAGAATTTGAACGGTAAAGACTGCATTAAGTTGCGTTATCTCAGAAGTGATTAAGTTAGAATGGTGCTTTTCAATCGATGCACGGCCATATTTGTGGGCCCCTTGTTTGTGCCTTCAAAGTGGTTTCAAAAGGACGAGGTAATTCTACCGTCACACAAACTGTTTTCATGGGGAAACAAGTTAAAGATCTATTTAATCGTTTCAGTAAGTAGACTGACACATTTGAAAATCGATGGACAAGAGTCAAACCAATACTGAACAACTGAGAAGAGAGATGCGACTGGTGAAAAGTCCCTTATCTGAGTGGAACGTATGAAAGTTTAATGAGTAGTGCGAGAGTATACCCTGAGTCCAAGAAGAAGAATACAATGGTCACTCTTAGAAACCGGGGCCATTAGTTTGACACAGAATAAGTTCGGATGGTTTGTGATCATTGTCCATCACAGACCCACCTCTGGTAGGAAAATGAGAAAGGTCAGGTATACCAAACGGATACAGGATGGAAATGCTCGCATGATCGAAATCACCAATAAGTAAGTGAAGATTTTTATCTAATAATTAAACTAGAAAAGGACACGGAGATATATACAGATTAGTCATGATTGTACTTTTGTGACAAGCTAAAACGGGAAATTAGGCAAATGAAGCTTAGTAAGGCACAGGTCAATCAATTCACCCTACACAAGCATACATGAGAAGAAGAATCAACCAGTCGAGCTAGATTAGTAAATTGCTTAGTTCACCTCAGTTGAAGTTAAAAATAAATATCCGGTGATAGACATGCCGAAATTGGAGCTGACGCCATTCGACAGCAACCCTAGCAACTATTGAAGATTTATTAGAGAATTCGTCAAGTCCAGGAACAAATCAGGCTAGTCATGAAACCCTTGGTACACCAAAAAGTATGCTGCCCCAGAAGAACATAGGCTACCCAGATGTTCCACGCGCCGTTTGAATCACACACTATCAGCCTGTGACAAGTTCGCGCAGTAAGGTGTTCCGGAACGTTGGGAAGTAGCAAAGAGACATGGCGCGTGTTTTATCTGTTTGAATGGCTCACACTGTGCGGCTGCTTCCAGGAACCGCAGCAGATGCGGTGAGAATTGGTACCAAGTGAATCATCATACTCTATTACATTCAATGAGGGAAGCACCAAGACAGGCGCTTCGAAAACCCAGTG